CAAAAGGAGATTATTTGCGTGGCATATATGAAGTTGAAAAATATAATATCATTAAATTTCACTAGAAATATAAACCAAATTAAAACACCTTGGTCATGTCAGTTTCTCTCCCACCTTGTCATGCTTTTAACAAAGCGAAGGACACGAAAAGTCCTAATTTTGGACAGTAATCTGTCCCCGAGACAAGGAACAAATCTAGGGGAGGTGTGAGTCTCGTCACGGGGAGTTGAGTTTGCATACACTCCAGGGGCAGTGACTGGGGGACTCCAGCCAGACGGTGCGTCATCCGCAACACCTGCCGTTTAGGGTTAGTTCGGGGATTTGGATGTCCAAATTGTAGGTAGAGGGTCAACCCTTATGCTGTATTCTTTATACAGTATATTATCATGCTACTTAGCCGTGATTATTCACACCTCACATTTATACATAATAAAATGAATCCCCCAAAAAGATTATCATAAGACTCTTTTGTTTTAACCAATAACATACCATCTGTTTTGAGCCAGAGGGGAATTAACTCTGTAAAAATTGCATGAGCTAACACGCTACTAGCTCCAAATAGAAAATGAAAATATGTACCTTTATTACAAAATGATGTGCAATATTTGAAATGAGGTAAAATAGCTAAATGTTTGAGTTATAATTTGGAACTGGGAAATTCTGGGCTCAAATTTCTAGTTAATGCTCTTTGGTAAGCCATTGATCCTCAAGCAAGGCCCTTGCGTAGGACTCCAATCTCTAGGGCCTCATGTTGCTTATTCATGTACCTTACATGTACTCTAAGCATACTAGGTATACTGCGTATCATCTGTCAAGAGTCAGAAGGGCCTTATCTCTGTTGAAGTATAGGAGTTAACACCCTTCTGGCTCCAAACAGACAATACCTGCTTTCTCATTTTCCCATTTAAAACCAACAAATTCTGACAGAATTTTTTTTTTCTTCAACGAGCTGTCCATTGAGGTCTGGTGTGGAAGACTATTCTACCATAATTCCGCAGAAACACAAATCTGTAACAGGCTGCTATCAAAGATCAAAGATAGCAGTCAATGAAGTCTGATATCGAAGACTATTCTCTGTTTAGAGGAAAGTGACAAATCGGCTAATCAAGGAGTGTGAAAACTGGGGTTAAACAGTCGCACGGTTGAAAGACATGATTTACATGTTACAGTAGCTTGGTTAAATCCACCATATTGATTTACACAATAACCTTCTCTACTTGATGATACGTGGCCCAGAATGGATTTCCCTATAACTTGGTGTACAGCCCTGTTCAGATATGTCACCGTCAATAACTTTTACGAATAAATGGTGCATTGAATGAATGGCAAGTTGGGGGTAAACACATGATTAAGAAAAATAAAGGCCTATATCTACATTCTATAATATATCAGTTATAATATAGTGATTCATGACACTACACTTCTCTCTTTTTATTATGTTGCTGCATTTTTCGAGGCAATTTGTGGCTTCTAGTTTACTGACAATGACTGGAAAGATACAGGGAATATAGAAAGACATCAAATTGAGAAATACAGAATGTAGAACATATACCTAATCGACATTTAAAACTCATGAACTACACTAGGATCAAAACATATTTGGTAATTGATTGCCAACATTGGAATAATGACACAGAAAATAAGGTACAATACACTATCTGCAAGGAGATGGTGCACAAACGGTGTACAGGCTTGACCTCTGTTCCTATTAACCAAGAAAATAAAACTGCCCTATGAGCCCCTGGAGACACAATGCCCCTGTTCAAGCCTATATTAAACCTGCGTTATTACAGACCATTGCTCATCGCACTCTGGCCTTGTTACTTTGCAGGAAGGATGATCATCATACTATATTTGGACACTATCCCACCAAATAGACACTACTCCTGGGTCTTTACTGCCTCATTGACAGCTGCAGTTACCTGATCAAAATATGACTTACATTTCATATCAAAACGTGAACTTTTAATCAAAACGTACATAAGATGGAGGTGTCAAAGCAACTGTTCCATCAACTTCAAATTAGATGCTTGTTTTGTTTTGCATGGTGAGCTAATTTAGGTGACTTATGCTCTGGAATATCAAAATATAGAACTGTCATAATAATAATATTCCCTTTTATATCTAAGCGCTTTACAGATATATTATTACCCTGGTCATCGTATTCAGGCTTGCCTGCTCACGATGTATGCACATTTTCCATTTCCTGCCTGGGGACATTCCAGCCAGGCATTATTTTACAGATGCTCACAATGCTAATAATTACGCTCATAATTACATTAAATTTCGCATCCTACCGGGCACCTGTTTAAGACCATTGAAGACTAAAGGCTGCCAAGAAATGTTATTTGTCAAAAAGATATGAAAGAAAATGGGTAAAAGCTGAGGATGATGATGGTTCGTTCTGCCAGGCCTTCAGAATAATATATCTAGAACCATATCAGCTCAGGGTTTGCATATCGGTTCATTAGAAAGTCTTTTCAGTTGACCATTAACCCCTTTGTATGTCCTTAGGAGACATAATATCACCCCAAAAAACTATAAGATCTATAATCAACATTTCCAAAATGCTTTTGTTTCTTGTACAAGGTAATGGCATGTACTCAACTTTAACTGAATTGCGAGGGACGGGGAGGTGGCGATTGGTTCAAGACAAGAAGCAGGTCTGAAGAGGAAGGCGAGAGATGTCTAAGACCTAGTACGGGTCAGTTAGATGAATCAGGGCGAAACGCAACAGCTGGGGGCAATATGATCTACATCAAATAAAAGAGAGGGCCATCTTTAACCCTCTCCTTCTCACCAGTTCTCTCTTTCCATCTCCCTTTTTCTTTCTTTTCTCTTTCTTTGAGTTTCTCTATCTTTCTTTGAGTCTTCCTCCATTAATGTCTGTTTCCTCTCCTCCCCCACCCTTTCCATATCCTTTGCTCCCTATTTCACTTTTTGCTTTCACTTTCAGTTTCACTCTTCCTACTCCTTGTCTTTCCCCCTTTCTCCATTCTTCTTCTTTTCTCCTTTCCCCTCTTTTTTCCTCTTTTTTCCTCACTCTCTTCATCTTACCCCTTTTCTTTTTCTCTGATATCTTCACCTCTCAATTCATCATCTTACTGTTAAACTGAAAGTTCTAAATTCTTCATGAATGGTAACCACCCACGTAACTTGCTCCTTTTATACAATCTTTTTCTTCTTTCTTTTATACCTCCACTCCTCCCGTCATCTACCCCCTTTCTCCCTCCTTAAGCAAGGAAATGGGTGGTTGTGCATGGTTGCTCACCTGATTACAAATTTCCACCCCTGCTTAACATGCATGCTTCCTCTTCCGTGTACATGTACCTCAAATAAAATTTCCTCTTTCCTTTTTTCCTCCTTAGCCCACCCCCCCCCCCTCCTGTACTAAGATTATATGATAGGGGCCACATGAAAGAAAACTTTGAAATATTGTCTGATCTGTCGCACATGCTCTGGCGAGAAGTTCTCCATGGCCAATTGGCCAAATTCTGAACTTCAACAATGGACCTACCGCTCAACTTAACCAGAACTCGAACCCTAACCCTAACCCTACACCTGATGTAAAACCTAAATGCAACCTTAAAACATAAAGGCTAACAGTGTGTCAGGGTATTGCTCCCCCCCTAGAGTATAAACAGGTTTTTGTTGTAGTGCATGTCTAAAAAGCTTGTCTTTAGTGACCATTTTTTTAAATATACATAGTTTGCCGAATCAGCTGGACATCATGTACATGTACAAACCATAGAAAATTCCTATTTTGTAAGGCATGCTGCAAATAACAAGAAGTATAATTAAAATTCTATTAATAACAATGAAGTACAAGTCGAGGAGGGTTAGCATATGTCTTTTCCTTTGGTGGTCTCACTACCCAGCACCTGGAAATATGTGTACCCCCTGAAGACTTGTACAAATGTTATGTAACAGAATAATCATCACTTCCTTTTTTACAATAGCTTGGGCATGAATACTTCGGATGTCTGAAATAAAAAATAAATAAAAAAAGCATGTGTACCTAAAGCACCCTCCTGGCGTTGCCAAAAATAAGTCAGCTGGATTAATATGAGATTAATATGAGATTAAGATAGAATTGGCACATCCAGAAAAATTTTCTATTAAAGACCTTTGCTCAAGATGTGGTGGACTTGACTTATACCTTCAACAGGTGGGTCTACCTGAACATTGCATTTGTAATCAAATCAGACACAATATTGGAGTCTTTTACTCAAGTAACAAGCAATTGTATTCTAGTTTTCTCCATCAAGGCAAAATTTGATTCACTTGCTATTTGTATCATGTACTAATCCAATTCCCATCTTCATCTACATGTATCAAACTCCATGACTATCTAATTCTCACTTTGAAAAAATAATTCAATTTTCCTTTTCAATTCAATTTGGGATAATGGACACTGATTGTCTGTAAGTCACTTCCAGTATCCGGAACTGATGCAATGATAAGAAATATCTTGTGCGAGATCGAGGTGACTATTCCAATGAAATTAGACCAAAAAGGGAAATAATATCCTGACCCTCGACTCCAGAGTTGCAAAATGCTGGCTCTAAATTGTCTGCAGCTATTATTTGGTTAATTTGGAGAAACAGCTGCATGCCTGAATCACAGATTCCCATTGATCACGCCATCAGGATCGAGCAGTTCACGCCGGAAAAGGTGCTTGGACTTTTCCGGCGAATTTTTGGCAGCGGCGGACAGCTCCGAATTTGGAGTTCGAGTTGCCAGATTGAGAATTCTGCTTAAAAAGCCCTGATACGCTTAAATCATGAATGGTTGCAAGAACCAGCGGCATTTTCACACTCTTCTCTTCGTGCCACATTTCTCAATAAAAATGAGTAACACAAACAGGCTAGCACACAAATGGAAAAACACAGACAGACACAGACATACAGAACACATGTAAGATGAGGAACGAAAAGACAATGTTTAACAAAGGCTCTCACTGATACATGTACAATGTACTTGCACTATTGGGTACTTACCAGAGTAGAGTCCGGAGTTTGGGCCCTCATGCTTACTTTCACCTCATGCTCTTTACAGCTAGGCACTTCAATGGGTTCTGTGTGAGTGAAACTTAGAATCTTGACACCTAGAGTGAGAGAGAAAGAGAGAGAGAGATAGAGATAGAGAGAGAGAGAGAGAGAGAGAGAGAGAGATATGGAGAGAGAGAGGAGGGGCACAAGAGAGAGGAGGGGCACAAGAGAGAGGCATGGGAGAGAGAGATGCAGGAGGAAATGGGAGATAAAACGGGAATAAAATACATTAAGCAGCATTCTTTTAGTGCATCAGTGGTAAAGCTAAATTCTATGAGTCACTTATATGCTCATAGTAGTGCAGAGCCGTTCCTATATTTGGTTCAAAAACTTGTTTTATCATGATTATAATCCTTTCCATAAAAAACCATCAAACGCTGTACAGGATTTAATGTAATAGGATTTCATTTTTGAAAGTAGCTATCAAATCAGGAAACACTTTTAAATGTATAAAATTTGGTGAGCTCCCTAAAATAAAAATTTGTTTGGATTTTTTAAAAATATGTTGTTTCAAACTATGTGTATGTCTAATTCACTTAATAGAGAAAGTGGAAATGTTTGTATTAATAACATATTCAAGGTTTTGATTTGATCACTCAGTGTGCTGTGTATCAGCCCTTTGATAAATGTTAACTGAATATTTTAAACAAACAAAATGAGAAAAGAATGCATGAAACCAGGTTGAGACTATACATGCTCAGAAGTTTAGTCGATCATAATGAATATGGATAACTTTTTATCAAACCCTCATCAAATATCTCTCATGAAAATGCTGTTTGACTTGTATAGTAGAAAGTGTAAGTATCTCCACCAGCCAATTTTGACAGCTGGACATTTTATCATCTTTTCAATCTACAAAACTGAGAGGCCGAGTCCTGAAAGCAAAATGTTAAAAAAACTTTCCTTCTCTCTTGAAAAACTGATCAATAAAGAGTGCTGAAGGCTGATTACTCACAACCTATGAAGTCAAAATGATTATTTATCATTTTCGACCAGTAAGAATTGGGAGTAACCATTTTGATAAATATCAATACAGAAAATTCAGCATTTTCTAGAAGAATAAAATGTGACAAGACAGAGTGAAAACTATTTTTCTTAAGACTGATAAATTGCTGAGGCCAAACAACCTTAGAAGACCTTGTTTTATTCAAATGCATATCAAGTATCTCTAATGCAAATTCTGTTTGACTTCTCAAGTAGAACGTGTCACTACCCACATGTAAACCAGCTGGACTGCTGGAAATTTTATCTCTTTTCCAATCTTCCAAATTGAGAAGCAGGGTCTTAAAAGGCAAAAGGTTTTCAAAACTTTTCTTCTGTCTTGGGAAACTGATCAATGAAGAGTGCTGAAGGCTGTTGACATGATTACTCACAACCTAATAATGTAGATACAAACAACCACTGGCACAATGTTGAAAGAAACATTATCAAAACAAAACATCCAAACTTTTCATGAGTCACGTTTACCGGCTTTGAGCCAGGGAAAACATACGTTGCTCATGCACCACATTTTCTCTCTCCAAGCATCCCAAGAGAATCTGCCAAAGTTTGTCATATCCTATGTTCCCACTTTCTGGAAACTATGTTTTCAAGGTTTTTAAATGGTTTCTCCTGAAACTAGTTGGTTAAAAATTGTAAGGGTACGTATTATGTAATATGTCTGTAGAAAAAAATGATACTACCAGGGCACCGGAAGGGTACTACAAGGGCGCTACAAAGGTACTACAAGGGTGCCAAGAGGTACTACAAGTGTGTCATGAGGGTGCTATGAGGGTTTTACATGGGTACCACAAGGATACTAAAGGGTACATCAATTATACTACAAGGGTACTACAGGGGTCGTAAATGGTATCATAAGGGTATGACAAGGTTACTAGATGGTTTTATAAGGGTACTACAAGGGTACTAGATGATATCATCAGGGTTCTACAAGGGTATTGGATGGTTTCATAAGGGTATTGGATGGTTTCATAAGGTTACTACAAAGATGATAAGGGTACTACATGGCATCATGAGGGTACTACAGGCCATTTAGTGAGAAAAATTACCAATCGAATGCCAAAAAAATAACTGCTGTCTTGAAGCTAGTTGAGCATTGTCGCAATTTGAATTCATATGTTTTTGCTTTTTCTCTGATCAAAATGTTAGGAATGTTTGGATTTGTAATGTCCGGTAATCAGTTGCTACCTAACATTGAAGGTTTATCTATTTCAATTTTTTAAAATCATGTTCCTGATACAATTTTCTCCACATTTATTACCAGGATTTAAAACAGAGAATTCATGCCTTTTGGCTTTCAAAAGATAACTTTAAAGTACCTGTATAAACGATGGCCATGAAACCTGGTGTTGTTGCCAATCGATGGTGTGTGTGAACACATCAAGTACAACATTCTTGACAAATTCAGCTGGGTCTATGTGACACATGTGTCATGGCGTCTCTAGAGTGGGCGTGTTAAGTTCAGCAAGGGGCCAGCTACTACGTGTTTTGACATGACCAATCAATGTCACAGAACCTGAGGTCTCTCCAGCATTGCACCAGGGGATAGTGAGTCCTCTTCGGTTTTTCACTTTGGATTTTTGATTTGGTAAAGTTTGATAACCCGACCCCTTTCTGTTGTATGCACATCCCTTCCTTCCCTACCTATTCATCAATTCATTCATCCATCCTTCTCCTCTCCCTTCCTCTATCCTCCTTCTGTCCTCCCTCACTCCAGTTCCTTTCCATTCCTTCCATTGCCTCAGCCCCCCCCCCCCTCCCCACCTCTCCTCTTCCTGGTATGAACTTGTGTTTGTATAGACCTAAATTTGCATGATGCTTTCAGTAACTTTATTTAATTGTAACTAATCAGTTAAGTCTTTTTAATGATTAGTGGTGTAAAAATAATCAATTTTCATTATTTTCATGCGCAATTTCTTTCACATTGATTGATTCAATAAACATGTTTTTTGCAATGACGACCTTCATCATTGCCTTGTTTTCGTTCACATTATTAATATTCTTACTTCTTCTTCTTCTTCTTCTTGTCGTCCGGAATCCCATTCGTTTTGCACGTAGTGCTTGTCATTCCTATCTAGGTCTTTTTCTCTTGCTCGATTCCTTTCAAACTTCGTAGGCGTAATCTCTGATATCCAATCTAGGTCACCTACTTTTTTGTTTTCTGAAATCACTCATGCGTAAACGTCCAGGCGCCATTTTGTCCGTTTCTGGTCCATTTTAAGGCCTTTCTATCTTCCTATGTTTCTATGTTCTTTAATCTGCGACGTATAACCTGCCCTTCAAAATGCCATCTTCATACTCAAAATTCAAATCTGAAACCGTCTCCGTCAACAATCTCTCAAATTCTTGAAAAATTGACCCCTAAATAATCTAAAACTGCCATAACTTTCTCATATAAATTACGTTTTGTATTTAAATCTCACAGTATCTTTATCTCATAATTGCACATAGCCATGCCAAATTTCACGCTCCAATGGCTTTGCAAAACATAAATAGCGGCCTCTAAAGTTCTGGTAATTGGCTTTCTTTATGTGGCCGTATCTCCATTATGGCTTGCCAGACCCTTTTTTTCCTTGAAAATTTGCAGTGACATGCCGAGTTCCAATACGCAGGGCACCTCGTGGCCGGATTTTTGAAATTGGTCAACGGGGCCATTTAAGACGCCATTTTGTCCTATAAATCTATTTTACATCACATGTTTCGATAGGATTATCATAGAAACAAGAGAATGGTTTACAATAACAACCATGAAATTCTCTTTCTAATGATACCAAATACGGCCCATAAAGAGACATAAAGAGAGAGAGAAAAAACAATTTAACTCCGGTCATAATACAGATCCTGTACGTTTTCCGCCCATGCATTACACGCATTGTCTATGGGGCATATCGGGTTCACACTTTTTGCCCCCAGAACGATCTTGATTGCAATGACGAACATGCACCAAATCCCATTGGTTTTTGCACCCAGTGCTTGCGAGCCCTTTCTAGGTTCTTTCCCCTATCCCAATTTCTTTCAAACTTCATAGGCATAGTCACTACCACCCCATCAAGGTCACTGTTGAGGCCTTTCTTTCGCCCTACCTATCTCCAATATTACAGAAGCTACAGACTTTGTACAAATTGCTCTGGATAGTCCGAGAGAAGCTCTTTTGTTTGACACGTAGAAACATGGCGTCATTGCACGCACATCGTTGTTCTTCAAACTGTTAAGAATAAGAAGTGGAAACTAAGATTAATTGTTGCCAATTTCAGGAGGGTAAACTGATCAATTTAGAAAATAAGAAACATTTGAACTGTTATGGTTTAAAGGTGCAGTGTACAGATCGTAAACTTTGCCCTAACATTGTACCCCAATCCTAGCTATGAGGCACCTGCAAGTTCTTACCAAAGTCTCTCCCTCTTCATTTACATTCCCATCGTGTACCTTAAAATAACTTATCAAGAAAACCTTCATCACAATTAAGAGTCCTTAGTCATTAGCTCGCTAAACACGGAAACCAGGGCCTTTCCTTCGTGTCGCAAGTGCATGCAAAAATCTGTCTGAATGAGCAATTTCATTGGCGGCCATTAGTACCTTTTCGTTTGCCCCCTGATAATTCATTCTGCCAATGGTGATATGTCAGATAGGTCTAGGCCTTATGTTTGTTGTTTATACGTGACTAATGCTTTTGATAGATGCCAGAAAGGCATATGTCAAATATGGTCACACTATTTCTATAATGTAAAATGACAGATTGTTTCCGCAAAAGGCACTTGTCTCACAGAGGGTCAATCGTCCAGTTGACCACTATTGGCTAACAAAGTCATTGTGTTTTAGTAAAAATGAGTTGTATCGTCTTCAGAGATACCAACCTCTTGAAACAAAAAATAGACTGAGTATCCTAAAAAAAAAAAAATCAGATTTTGGAGAGAAAATTAGATTTCCCTGAAAACTCGACACTACCACTAGCCCATCGGCCCCGGGCCAGTAAAAATTTCAGAAAATGTTTTATGGTAAGTACGGTCAAGTAAAATGTTTGCTCTTTCATTAAAATTTAATGGGAAAATTGTAACGCAAAGTTTTTGTTGGGGTTGCGGGGGTTTACTTGTACATGTTTCTATGCGATTCCGCGGTTTTTATGGGTTTTAAAAAATTAAAAAATTAAAAATGATGATGAAAATCGTATTCTAAGAGGTGATATCGTATTATCGTATTTCATCCTTATTATCTTACTAAATACGATTTAATCGTACTGGTTTGCATCTCTGCATCTTGTGCAAGGTCTTCTCTCAAGATTCATCAAATGATATACATGTCCATAATGGTTTTATTGCCAGCAGAGGAGAAACCATGTACATGTGTGTAAGAAATATATCACCTGCACCAAGAACATATTGCCTGCTTAGAGCCAAAAAGGCAACAATATCTATATGCAAGATTGTATGACTTGGTCTCCCTCTGGTTAACAGCATGCCTTACAGGTACATGTACATGTATAGGGATGTCCCTATATGAGATACCAATACAAGAAGTTTCTCAGAGAGGATCCTTCACAGGTAGTGAGGGTAAACCTGTACCAATAGCCTCAAATAATATTAATTACAATAATAATAATCTGGATGTATATGACGCTTAAGACGAAAAATTATCTTAGCGCTTTATAAATATTTATCCCGGTCGTCCTTCGCACACAATGTGCACCATCTTCACTTCCCTGGGGGTCGTTCCTACCATATGGTCACCTAGAGGGCATAATTACTAACACAAAGGCTTTCATCATCCTACCAGGTCCCCATTTCTTTCCTGGGTATAGACGGGCAAATGTAGATTAATGCCTTACAGAAAAAAGACATTGGTGCCATGTCAGTATCTCCTTTGGCAGAGATGAATGACTACAAACCTGTATCAAGGTCAGCAACGCCCGAAGACATCTCCTTGTGGTTCTTGACGATGGACTCCCGGTCAGCATGGCGTGGGTCTGGTAACGTCCGACTCTTCCGTCGCTTGCTGCCCTTCCGTCCCGTCGGGTAGCCATCTGCAGAACTGACCGATGACCTCTGTTATGACACAAAGAAGGAGACAAAGAGAAAAGGATAATTGCTATGAATATAATACGAGTAATAATAATAATAATCAGTTATAGAAAAACTAGAACTGCATTATTTCATGAGATATTCATTCTTCTTAGAAAATGTTTTTCACTTTGGGCAGCCAGATACACTGTTTACAGAGTTCGAAGCATTCAGAGAATGTCTTTCCACCAGGTACACTGTACATGAACTTATTAATTATATACTTATATACATCACAGAGACATTACCGTTGTCTACAATTCATAACTTTGTCATATTTGTCTGCTTTCATTCACACTGTCACCAGTCTACATCTCTGATTATTCTGCTTTCCTCTAGAGAAGTTTGCTGTCAAGGTTGGTTTTTCCCTTGAAGAGGAACTATTCAGAATACATGCCCTATTCAAAGGATACAAGGTATGAACTCATATTCTAATCCAGTGAGAATTATCGTGATTTCATAAATTTATTTTCAAAGTCAACTTGTATGAAATTGATCCAAAATTCTGGAAAAAACCCTCATAAACATGAATGACATTTAAAAAAAAAAAATTGGCAACACACTCAGATATTTGGGTATACAATGTTAAAGGGAGTGTAGCATGACGAGACTACGTGTCTGTCCCTTGGCCTGACTCTGAGCCAAACGGGTATAATACGACTATGGACGACGCGACCGCAGAAATCACGTGCGTGCAACATAAGTGAAACCAAAGCGTGAGGAGAACTTAAGTCTTTGCCAAGGTACACTCCCTTTAATATGGATGATGAATAAAAAGCAATTGTCCGATTGACCAGGTCAAGCCAATATGTCAATCAGGAGAGCAGACCGTCAAATCTTGTCAAACATGCTGCCATCCACGCAAGGAGAGAGAGATGATGCATGGTGTGTTTTGTCATACAGATGTGTTAAAAATTGACATAACTCTGTTTTATATATTCAATGGAATTGATAGCATGAAACTTTCATATCTTTAAGTATTGTATTGGCACACACTTCAAACAATGGCATTCATGTTTTCCTCTTCTTCTTGTTTTCAGAAGGGGGGAGTTGTTATTACATCAACTCTGCACACAAAGTAATAAAAGAGTCCTGCAACATATAAACTCTTAATTTCATGAACTTTGTCACATTAATTCAAGAAAGCAGGGAAATCAAGATAATGCATGATATGCAGTTATTGTTCCAAACTTTTGTCTACCATCTGGTATCTATATAGTTCTCAAGAAATGAACCATGAAGGTGAGCTTAATAGAAGTGGAAAATTGAGGGGAAAAGGAAGAGATTACTCAAAACTTGCAACCAAAGCTTTACGAAGCATATTTCTGGTGTGGCACATTTCAGACATCTCTTGTATTGTATTCATTTCCTGTCAAAGACATTTGGCAAACATTTAAATCAAAAGACTTTTTCTTATAAAATGTACTGTACATGTAGAGTGTGTATTTAGTGAGTAAGAAATTCAATTGAAATAGCCACTTTTTTGGTTAATCTTAATCTAAAACAAATGATAGATCTCTTATCCCTTAAATTTTCAGTTTAATAATTTGAGATGAATCATAAACAAATAGGGTAACTTTTAGAAGACTATTTTCATAACATTTTGTTTTTGTTAGTAGAAAGCATCCATGGAATATAGATCTACACCATATTTTGAAGAAGTCAATATTAATTTAATTGAGTTCATTTTCAATACCATGATATAAATGTAAAATCATAACAATGTAGCATAATCTTGAACAGCATTCAAGATTTAGTGTTCAAAGAAGTCTAATATGAATTAAAATGGAATTAATTAAAAAAAATATACCCTCCAAAAAAAAAAAAAAAAAATTGTATCAAATATTCATTTTAGGCAGAGGGGGGGGGGGGGGGGGGGGGGCTTGTACTCTTCATGCCTCTATGAAATATTAGTCAACGGATCAGGGTTTCATTATTTCCTCCATTGACAATCTTTTCTTTTCATTAAACACATATCCGAATCATAGTTTGATCATAATTGCACGTAACTATCAAAGATGATGTTTAAACAAGCTCTTCCTCTCCTTCATAGCATTGAGAGTCTGGCATCTATTGATTCATCAATCAGCATGACAATTGCAATGGCAATGAAATGGTGTTAATCTGATTCTAGAGCTCACACTATGACATGAATTTAATATATCAACATAGGGTGTTAATTATAAAGAGAGAGTGAAGAATATTGTACATCAAAGATATATTGTACATCTTTGATTAAAAATAATACATCACAACATAAATCTATTTATATGTGCATCCCTAAATGAATCATTATGTCAAACATCAGGATGTCATGTACAAATCTAAATCATTTGAGCATTTAAGTAAACCACGAATGTAGTCACAGAGGATAATAACAAATTCATCTACATTGATTTACTTGTATGTGTGACATACACGGTGATAGACATAAAAGGAATTTAATATGGAAAGCAGGACAGCATTTTTCTGCATGAAGTTAAACACAGAACATTGCATCAAAATAATGAACTGTTTTCAAGGGCATACAGTTCGTGAATGTTTTATACAAACACATTTTGTACTATCCGGTAGTCATTTTTAGTACTCCTAACTTTCTTAATTTTATAATGCGTCTCAGAATAGGTTTACTAGATATATGGCGCAATATAGGTGCATTATTTTATATTATTATCAATTATTAATGATGGGGAAATTGATACCGGTAGTTGGCTATTTTTCTGAAGGATTCCTACATCATCTAATATCTGATGATCTATGACCCTGAGGCATACCTGTAGAAATATTGAATAATTCAATCTGTTCTCTAGAATCATTTCAAATCAATAGATTCAAATCTATCTTCTTCTGAAGAAAAAAAATGTACCAGTATTCAGAATCTTAAGTAAAACACCAATGACATCAGCAAGTGAAGAAAAAAAATCATGAGGAAACTATGACTTTCAAATCTATAAGGCAAACCTCACTAATGGTAACATTAGAGTTTGTATTTCAGGCCAAATGGATGGGTTTGGAAAAGCGTGCAACTCAGGACAGGCAATGAAATACGAGGAAATAATAAAACTATTAATAGTAACTGATGACTGATCAATCACAATTTCATATAGGGATAATTCAGATCAATATAATACGCAATAAGGAGAATTTGGATTGACTGAACAAAGCACAAACGAGGCAAGGGGTAGAGGAAGAAGTGAGGGATAACGCATTTATCAAAGAACCGGTAGCTGTGTGACATGCGATCTAACCCTCACACATACAGAGTACCGACTTACGCAGGGAGTTAAACAACAAGGAAGGATGGGAGTGGATGAGTTATCATGAGATAATTGAGATTTACAACCAGTAGAGGGATGGATAATTTCTCCTGGAAACAAAAACTAATTAGTAGCTTCCCAAAAGCCTACACAGGCCTCACTTGACTGCAGGTTATACTAATCTTTCACTAGTTCAACGTAATATTATTAGATTGGATCCTCCTCTCTGAAATTGTTCATATAAGGTCTGTCCTCATCATGCAGATCGAAGTTGCATAATAACCCACTATTTTCAGACTCGGATATCCGAAGCTTGAAATTGCGTGTTCACCGGACTGATACGCTCATCACAAACTAGCTTGGACAGGCGCAAATTAGCCGGCTATTTTGGAAACAAGACCAAGATTTCTCAGGATATTTTCTGCAGGCTGATGAAAACACAAATTAGCTGGCTAATTTGCAATCGAGATAAACTGTAGTAAGAATAGCAGGTTATTTGGCAAACTCGAGCTGATGAAGCTGTCTATTGGGTATACATTGTGGTTGAAAATGAAACCCTCCAAAACAGGTTTTGAAGTCTGTAAAATGATTTGTTTATTCTATTTTAGATCTCGTATTTTGTATGCTGGATATAAGTTTTACCTTTACTTTGGAAATACAACAAAATATGGTTTTATACTTAACTCAAATTACATGTTAATGTCATTCTACTAGTACTATTAAAGAATAAATCTTGGATTGGACACATGTCTTGGTATGCAGTGTGTTATCTTGTATCAGGAACGTGAGACACAAAGTATTTACTACTCATGCATCTACAGGCATTATACTGAAGGCACACGCGCTGTGCAAGGTATTCATGATAAAGCAACTTCCCCAAGTACTTGTGGCTGAGATGAGTGACACTAATGATAATGGATATTAGTGTAAATACTGACTTCCTCATTATTTTATTGGTGATATGATGATATAAACATTGATACATCCAGGCAATCTATTCCTGTATCTCCATTAAATCCGGTCAATTTAACAAATTATTAACAGATTTTATGAGATGAAGCAGATCCTAATCAAACGATTGGTTGAGAGCGTACATGTGACAGGCATCTATTTGCCTATCACGTAATTTTCCTATTGACCGGTCATTAGTAAATACTTGTGACTGGTGATTAGTAAAATCATGTAATAAAACATGTTTATACAAAAAATAAAACATCTTATAAAACAAATAATACACATCATTTTGTTCAGGCATTAGTAAAATTACCCACACTCGGTACCTTCAAAAACACGCCCTTGGAAGTGGTCTAAACACCCTTGGCTATTGCTTCGGGCGTGTTGTTAGACTGTTACAAAGGTACCGTGTGTGGGGAATTCTTATTATTATTAATGCCCTCACTGCTGTGTATTATTTGTATACTAATTGAAGCTCATATAAAGGTGATCCATCTCCTATGGACTAACAGTGAAAGAAAGAACGTAGCTTACTCTTTTTCTCGTACTGCAAATCACCATAACAACACCATCCTGGTCCTCCACACACTGCACTGACCAACGACACGGCACACAAGGCATCGTGGGTAATATAAATTCAAATTCAAACCAAATAATCCTTTTCCTTTCCACTTGCAATCCACACTATGTCACTTTGAATGCTACAGGATCAGTCTCTAGTATCCCGTAAGCTTCTCGACCATCCAAAGATTAAGTTGTGAGACACACGACTCTACAAATCCAACCAGCTGCACTGCATCGTATGTTCCTCAGGACTGATTAAAATCGTTAAGAGCGTTGGCATGAGTAGAGTATTTCTCAATGAACTTCCTTATTATCCTCGTCATACATTCACAAGTGTTTATGAAAACCCATAATCTAACTACCTGAGAGAAGTTTCGGTTTCAGAAGTCCTCAAAAGAGAACGAGCCATTAAATGAAGATTGAACAACAACCTCGATGACGACACACTGTGAAAATATCAAGAGTATGGATCTTGCACTGGAATGTTCGATGATGATGAAATAATACCAACCACTCAAGAATTAATATGACACCCAATAAATAAATCCAAGGTTTGAATAGGCAGAAAGTTAATGAAGTATCCAGGAAATGATCTCAAACACACACACACTTTTGTGAAAGAAAGAAAATTAGGACGATAATGAAAGTCTTTGATATAAAACCAAAGTATTTCTACTTCCACGTTAAGATCTTGATGATATATCACACGCGAGTGCTGTCCATCTTTTAATCCACTTTGAATAATCTCTGAGCTAAAACGAAAGACAGGTAACTACTTTGTAAACAACTTAATCCACGGATTCTTAGATCGATAAGAGAATGCAGCACCTGCTTTAGTCCAACAAAGTTCTTTCAGCTTTGATGAAGGATTTCTGAGTAATTTGACGATTTATTAATTCTAAAAAGAAGATGTCCTTCTACATTTATGTGAGATTTGTTCCTGATTAAGAACGAATGACAGAATCGACTGTGCCTCTCGGTGGTCGCACTGCAAGAGACCGACTTCACAAGGTATTTCCAGAGCCAAACCTTGACTCGATCGCAGCGGCACGATGAAGCACTTTTAGTCACCGCGCTGGACAGACGGGTTGGATCACTCTGCAACCCTTTCAGTTAGGAGACAAGAGCAGAAATTAGGGAGAAGGGGGGACAACGAAAGACACTCATTGCATGGCAGCTAAAGCAGTAGCCAAGAACTAACTCAAACCCCCTCTCCTGCAAAAGTCGCAATGGATGACACATTAGGATTAGCCTAAATCCTGCAGACCTCTTTCGTTAATACATGAACGACCAAGTCTTGAGCTGTATCAAGTTAGGTAATACTTAGGAGACAATTAGTGCTACCATTGTATCGTCTACAGATTGCCAAAAGGCATTATCTAGGTGTGGAGGGTCAGGAGTTCATATATGTAATTTCTGACTCTAAGTTATTTTTTCCTTTAAAGTGTAAAGGTAATGTAAAAGTGAAGTGTAATGTTCAAATATTTTTCAAAGAAACTCTCTTTTGCTTTCTTTATTTGGTTTCTCACAAAAATCGTCGTAAGTAAGATTTCACCAACACCCCATTGAAATGAGGGTATTACAACTAACTTACGTTTCAAAAAGGATGTCGTGAACTTGTACTTTTGACGGTTTCATGAAACGATGACCATGTTATCAATTACCTTGACAGACATACAAAGTAGATTTATAACAAATTTAACCAAAAGATAAACTAGATCACGCTACTTTCGATTATTTTTTTGAGCACTGAATGAAAAGTACATTTTAGGTTCCTCTTAAATGACATTAAGCAGATATGAAATCCATTACGCAGCTTGAAGCTCAGGAACTGTACAAACCAAAAGTTGCTGTTCAAGATACATGGTACTTATTATGAGGGTAAGTGTTCAGGGATGGTATCGTTTTATACAGGTCCCTTTTTTGGGGGGGGGGGGCGGTTTCAGGGTAGCCTACAACATTTGCAAAGTATCTAAGTGTACAAGTTGTTGTACATTGTATCATACTATATTAACAAAATCAAGAATAGCAAATGGTCAAATGCTTCTGGTTTTACATCTCTTACATTTTGTCACTCATTTTGAACCCTGGTAAAAATCTGTACTATACTATTATGAAACATTGCACTAAAACAACAAAACCAAATATTTATCGCAGCTGGATCTTCAACTGATCAGGAATGATTAAATTTGGACATCATTAATTCTTGGAGGCCATGTTTTACTAATTCAGAAAAACCTGAAAATGGGTCTTAGATCACTTTTAATGAAGGGCAACTAAGATCACAGACCGACTTCCTGTGTTGATACTGATTTTGGACAAAAGATCCAGCGCAGTGTCAGGGTTAATGTTTGAATAGAATAGGGGCCTTTGAGTTGCATTTCAAGTTTTCAAAGCAACTTCTTATGCAAAGAGGACTTGGGTCTGATAAGTTTGGAGGAGCTAGACTAGAATGAATGACAGCTCGTAACTGTGGAAGGAAGCAACCCTACAGAGAATACTGCGTGTTGATTGGTGGATGATGAGTCCAACTTACCCCCAACGGTGATGAGGTAGGAGGGGGGTACCTGGTCAGGTGACATGGGTTTAGGGGGCAGGGAGAGGTCTTTCCCTGCATTCACACAAGCAGAATTCATTGTACAGTGAAAACCTGTCCATAAAGACCACCCAAGGGAGACAAGAAAAGTGGCTTTTATAGGCAGGTGGTCTTTATAGACAGGTTCCTTTAGTACATGTTTCAATGAGAAATCATTTTCAAGGGAAAAAAAAAATGTGGTCTTTGTAGACAGATGGTCTTTCTATACAGTTGGTCACTGAAGCAGGTTTGACTGCACATCTATATGAGAATTGTATACATGTACCTATACTATATTACCTTTTTTTCTTCTAGTCTGAATGTCACATAAAAATATGTTGTATGGCAAAAAGCTGTTTGCACATCGCTTCAAACAAAAATTTGATAAAGAAACACGTTCTAGCCTAAACGTTGTATCGTACAAAAATCGTATAAGAGGGTGGGGCTTATCATGAGCATGCACTGATCATTCCCCAGCTATCGTGTCAAATGACATCTTCAAAACAATTTATCAATATGACATGTTTTTATATCATGTTGTTTTCTAGGCCGTACATTAAACAATGATATATATATATATATATTTCTTTACACAAGTTTGGTATAAATGTCCTATAGTCGTATTAGGCTATTAGAAGAGCAAGAGTTCTGAACAGAGAAGTCCTCAACTCTAGGACCCAGGAACCTGTATGAAGGGGGTCATACTCTAAATAGTATATTTATTTCAGTGTTCTTTATACAGGGTGGCCCTTTCAATATCAAGTATTGATCTTCCAAGGGGCCCTGTCTGTACAATTACAAAAATAAAACATCACATATTAGAAATAAATAAATAAATAAATAAATATATATATATATATATATTTTTTTTTTTTTAAAACAAAAAATATATGAAACCCATCTCTCCTTCATTTTCCTCTCTTCACCCATCTCTTCCACTGACTTCTAGCCTCGACACAAGAGGAAATTACTTTGCGAGTATATAACTGCAGGGAAATTGCTTCATCTTCACGTCCAGTCTCATCACTGTTGTAAATCTGAAACGCATCTGCCTTGATCTGATCAAATTCTTGGTCTAGTAAGGTACTTTCTGCATCCTCCCTCTCTCTCTCTCTTTCTCTCTACCACTCTCACTTTCCATTTCCCTCTCCCCTCTCTCTCTACATCTTGTCTATCTATCTATCTAATTTTCTAATCTACATGATTCCATATATCTATACTATACCGTATCTATCTTTCTACCTACTTACTTATCTAACTATCCATCTTTCTATCTATCTATCGATCCATCTTTCTATCTATCTATCGATCCATCTTTCTATCTATCTATCTATCGATCCATCTTTCTATCTATCTAAGAGGAGATATTTTCTGCAACAGAGAACATTTTAAAAGAGACTCAACACAACAAACGTCAGTTGGATAACATATCTATCTATCTATCTACCATATCTATCTATCCATCTAACAATCAATCAGTCTAACTATATATCTGTCTATCTATACATCCACCCTTTTCTCCATTTTTTCCAATTCTCTCTTTGCCTGTCAACCTATGTTTCTTTCTTTGATGTTTAGTCACATACATTAATCGGTTGTCCGAAATTCACCTGTTTTTTCTTTTTTATTACAAGGAAATACAACAAAAGCATTTGCTTATAAATCTACTCTCTTGAGTTCATGTGTGGGTAACCACTTTACTTCTACTTCCTTCAAGAGTCCACTGTCAAGTTTATTTTTATTTAACATACTGTACGTAATACATGTATATATTCACCACATGGGTCATTCATAATAACAAGGTCTTTCAATGATAAAAGTTATTTCTCTACAAAGCAGATTTATTATTTTAATTGCAACATATATGGGCACACCCTGCATCTTAATATAGTTTGGGCTTTCCGTTTTCCTTTCTATTTCATTTAAATCCTTGTTTCTTCCTTCCTGGCTCTTCATCCATGGACAAAAGGCCAGAAGTATTGGTTTATACTGTAATTTCAATGTATTTTAATGTCATACACTACCATTTATATGAAACATTTCGGTTATATTGGGAAAATTGGAATCCATGCCCTATTTAAAGATGGAGAAATCAATAAATCAAAATTCAATTCTTGTTCAAAAAGTTTGGCAAATTCAAAAGACAAGATCAGTGACTGTATTCACGACTGTGCACGAAGGTAGCCCATACTCCAGCTTGCCCTCACTTTCAGCATATAAAACACAAAATTGTATTTCAAAAACTCTGCATGAATGCCGGCAGAAGTGCTCAGGGCAAGATACAAGATGGCAGCTAAAAAAACTGTTAACATGTACAAAATACTTCTTTTTTCTTCATAATCTAATAGCATTATATTCATGTTCCATTCTCGTAATAGAAATGAGTGTAAATGAGAGCTTCCTTATGTTAAAATAAATGAAATTACAGACACACAACTTCCAGGTAACTTAATTGAGGAAGGTGTTATTTGCAGATTATGGGTGCCATATATGTGGGGATTATGTACTCTGAAGAGGGAAGAGAGAAAGGGGGAGGGGGAGGGGGAGGGGGAGCAGTTTACTTGTGTGCGAAAGTAAATTTGCTGGTATCTCTTTGGTCCAATAGTGCAATTTGCAAGTCATGTTCATGGTATAATAGAGTGCCTGGGAAAAAAAAGGTTAATCCAAAGTGTTGTTCAAAGTAATGAATTTTCTAAAAATTCCTTTTTTTAAATAATCCTTGGAGCATCTATACTATACAACCAGGACGATCCATTTTGTACTAAATTCAGACCACAGTTTTCGATTCATATCTTTTTAATCCCTAAGTTCTGGATACATTGGCCAAGCAAGATAACAACATCGATTGCGTTACTTGAATATAATTTTGTTATAACAATGTATTTTCCATAAACTCCAGCCCTGTGATGATGGGTTAATATTACACTTTCGCAATAAGTTCTTATTTTCACATTGACATTTGTGAATATATTAATAATTTTTAAATATCACTTTCCACAGGTTCACCATCTGGAAACTACCTGTAAACAAGCACATAGTGTTTTATATTTCTTCAAGTTCCATTTAACCTTTTATTCTTTGTGATATTTTCTTAAATCTCTTCATTGCCTCGCTCATTTCCATTTCATGTCATAACAAAATATTAAATATCCCCCCCCCCCAAAAAAAAAGAACAAGAAGAACACGAAGAACGAAGGCACTTGGAAAATAGAATTGGGCAGGGACAAGCAATTAGAAATTCATTTTACTTGGCTTTATCTTTTTATGTAATACAGCGACAATATTAGATAGATAGAGGAAATATGAATTTAAGCGGTCTTGTAACACTCAATTTGCAATAGCATATTTTGTAGAACATCAAAGTCGGATAGGATGTTATGAATCTTTTCCTTCCTGGCACTCAACAAGACCCTACATGTGAATCCTCTATCAGTTAATGGACAATGCTATGAATCAAATATGATTGTGACTGTCATGTTTATAGTTTTGGGAAGTTCCTCATGGGGAGAGGCTCCATCCTGCCCCGAAAAACATCAAACTTTTAAAGCCCCACTGTACTACTTATAGCTACTTGCGCCCTCTATAAAGCAAACAATGCTTAATTGGTGACCGTTGTTCCCACATGATCCCCTTTTTCTTATGTTA